GCTCCACATCTAGGGAGAGAGTGTCAGAATTCTTTGAGCAAACGAGATCCCACCATGTGAGGAGAAAAGGTGTTTTGCACCCATGAGGTCGCCTTTCTTTCAAAGGTTTACTAAAGATTTACTGTAAAATCAAATTATATTTTCCATAGGAAGAGTGCAGGAATACGTTGAGCAAACGAGATTCCACCATGTGAGGTTTACTAAAGATTTACTGTAAAATCCAATTATATTTTCCATAGGAAGAGTGCAGGACAAGCCTTTGGCGTACAAACAAGCATCTCCCGGAAATGCCGGTTTAACATGCCCCTGTCCAACCACGGTCTGGAGCCAAAGTCGCGAGAACTGAGGCCAGAGAAACAGTTACTCTTGCACACGGATAACGGGATCGTGTGTACGTGGAGGCCCCCCTCCCCGCATTATCCTTCCCTCCCCTGCCGATCTCACCTGGCCCGGGGGTCTCGGGAGCTGCCTGCGGTAGAAGCAAGCCAGCTGCTCGTAAGGCAGCGGTAGCTGCTGCCTCTGGTACAGGACGTGCTTAAGGAGCTCGCAGGTGAAGCGGAAGCAGCCCTCTTGGGTTACCGAGCCGGGGAAAACTACGGCCACCGAACAAGGGCCGCCGGGAGCGGGCGCCGCGGTCACGGCAACGGCAGGAGCCTCCCTCCTTTCCAAGACGGATGCCGGGGTGGACTCGGCTACACGAGGCAGGTCGGCTCCTACGAGAGAAAGGGCGAGAAAGCAAAGCCGCTGCGCCATCGCACTCCGCCCGAACCCAGCCGGGCCGAGGCCTCGGAATCCCTCCCCTTCCCCATCATCATTCCCAAGTCATTCAGAGACAGAAGAAAGCACAGCGGGAGGGAAGGGAAGCTTTGGCTTCAGCCTTACCTTCTCCCTGCCTCTCCGCCAGCGCCGCCATTTTCCGCTCCTCTAACTTTCTCCAGTTTGAATGGCCGCCTTCGCAGAGAATCATGGGAACACAATGCGTCACTGGCAAGGAGGCGGATGCTCGTGGCGCCATGTTTAGTCAGGGAACGAGAGACAGTAAGCGGAGGGTGGGGCCAGATTGGAGGTGGTTGTCCGCAGTAATAATATAGACACATACACAAAGCGCTTTCCCAAGGGAATTGTCATCAAGTTGAAAGCGACCACCACGGACGGTAAATTTTGGGTAATTAAATTGTAAAATATTATTTGACTCTATCTCCATGTTCTGTTTAAAATTACTTTGGAGAGGAAGAGCTTCATGATCTCGTTGTCGTATATATACAGTATATGTATAGAGAGAGACTCCATTTCACTTTTACTTCTCTGGGTTGTGGGAGTTTTGTAAAGCACTTTGCATTCCTTTTTTAAAATCCGCCCTACAGTTTCCATTGAAGCTGAGTGACAGCTGGACTTGACTTTGATCTTAAGATCACAAGAGACATCCAGGCAGCAAAGCTGTTTCTCTTGTTGGCGCCTGGGCGGAGGTTTGTTTGTTTGTTCTTTTAAATAAACATTTGAGCCGCGCCGAGCACGCCCAGCCCTCGGTCACCTTGGCCTGATGCAACAGATCGCTTAAGGCAAGCAATCCTTTCAACTGATGCAACGTGTTGCCATCGACAGTAACCCAACACAAATGGAGTGGCTGAGGAAATTAGAAAGATGGGGGTGTATTGGAATGCAAAGCTGTTTACTCAGGAGAAAGAGCTCAGTGCTTTTGCTGTGACTGCATGATGGGAGATGTAGTTTTGCTTCTTTAACCACCAGCTCAGTTATAAGTTCTTGTACAGTACTGTACATTGTTTCTGCATATGGTGATATACAGAATAGAGTTGGAAGGGACTCCAGGGTCATTTAAGTCCACCCCCCTTCCAGTGTAGGAACATGCAGATTAGAGATGGGAGTATTCATTCTCATATACAAATACTTCTATCTCTAATGCAGATACAGCCAATAAAGGCCCATCCAACTTGTTTGAATATCCTCCTAGGAAAGAGTGTCTGAAGAAATGGACTTGTCCATGAAAGCTCACATTAAAATATAGCAGTTAGTCTTTCAGGTGCTGCAATATTTTTGTCTTCTCTATTTTTCTTCTTTTGTTTTTGCCTGAAAATTTTCTGTTTATTGCTTTAATTTATATACTGTACTGTCCCATCAGTGTCAAAACACTATTCTGGGTGGTTTACCTTTATTGCTTTAATTTATATACTGTCGAAACACTATTCTGGGTGGTTTACAAGCATTTAAAACCAAACTCAACAAACAGTAACACTAAATTACAATACAAACAGCAATAGCATAGCATAAAAACAAGTGGCACCAAAACAGATTTTCATAGTAAAGAGGAACAGGAGAGGAGGCATTCAGCTGTTCAACACCTCCTTGAAAAGTAATGTTTTCAATTGCTTCCTAAACAAGTATAGGGAGGGGGCCAGGCATAGCTCCTTCAGGAGCTGATCCCATAACCTCAGTGCACCGTAGAGAAGGCCCTACCTCTAGTAGATGACTTTTGGGCTTTATCGACAAGGTGATATCTCTGCTTTTTAAGATGCTGTCGAGGTATGTCATCTACAATACAGTAGGTGTATGTTTGACATATACAATGGATGTAAAAAAAAACACCACACTCGTTTGAGGTCAATTTGATCTATATCGATTTGAACTACTGTATATTGATAATCAGCTTATTTTTGTAAGTTTTTTTGTGAATCAGTCTTGGCAGGAAGACTGATTATAGATATGTTATACAAACAGTAACGTTCCTGCGTCTCCAGAAAAGGGTAGATAAAGCGAGTTGAGCCTTAGGACTGGCGTGCACGCCTGAAAGGGACAGCCATAAGTATCGTTTTATGTTACGCTCTTTAGTTGGGACAGCATTTGGCGCTCCAGCAAAGTCGAATCAACCTCGTGCTAAGTATTGTGCAGCCCTGCTGCGATCCGTCAATAAAAACTCCCCACCATAGCGGCGAGGACTCCCCGTCTTATTCTGGCTACGAGCTGTGTGCTCCGCAAAGGACGCTGGGAATTGTAGTTTCCGAAGGGGTGGCCGCTGCCACGGTCCTGTTTCCCGTGGTGCTCCGCGGTTCTCTTTCTGACGCCAGGAGCCGGAGTTGAGGGCAGCCGTCAGAAGCCCCGTCCCGGCTTTGCAGGTGGCATCAGCAACGGGACCAGCGGGGCATCAGCAGCGCGGGCGGGCGGAGGGGGGGAAGGCCCGC